TCTCTGAGTAAGATGGGTTCAATAATGTACACTGCTCTGAAACAGAGAAGGATCTGAGAATTTAAATTTTTAACAAATTCTGGGTGAATCTGATGCTGATAATTAGAAATACTACTTTGGCAATCGCAGGTTTACAGGATATATTCAAATACTAAGAGAAGAGTCATTAAAATTTATGTGGCAGTTTATTAAAGTAGTAATAGAAATTTGAGGCAACAGAATGAAGTATTACTCACTGATCAACATTTTTTAAAATTTATTTTTTATGCTAATGGTTAAGAGTCCCCTCACTTTCCATTAAAGGACTGTTTCATGGAAATGTATTGATAATGTAGTATATTAAGTTCCTAGAACTACCAAAACAAGTACCCCAAAACTGGATGACTTAAAACAACAGAAATGTATCCTCTCACAGTTTAGGAGGCTAGATGTCTGAAATCAAGATTTTGGCAGGATTGATATTTTCTACAGGCCCGAAAGGAGATCCTAGTACATACCTTTGTCTTAGCTGCTGGTGGTTGCTGACAACCCTTGACATTCCTTGGCTTCTGGACACATTGCTTCAGTCTCTGCTTCCATCTTTATATGACTTCTTCCCTCTGTCTTTTTGTGATGTTTTCTGTTTTTAACAAGGGTGTCTTTCTGGGACTTAGGGCCTGCTCTGATCTCAACTTGATCTTCACCTTAATTACCTTTGTAGAGAGTATTTCCAAAAAATGATGCATTGTAAAGTTTTGGCAGACCATAAATTTGGGGATTTATTCTTTCTGCAATGAACAAATAAATCTTGGACTAGGTGCAGTCTGAGTACTCCTCAGTGGACAGGAAAGGATGACAAAGCCTGGGATCACTTCTTTTGGGCATGTTGCTAGGAGAGGCCATTCCTTGGAAAGGGATATCATACCTGGAAAGGTAGAGGGTTGGTGAAAGAGAGGAAGACCACCTCCCACAACAAAATGGATTGTGACAGTGCTGCAGTAGCAGTGGGCGCAAGTGTGTAACAAGAATTAGCCTAAAATAGGACAAGGTTAAGGTCTCTTGTTCATAGAGTCACTGTGAATTGCACTTGACTGGATGGCTCCTAACAACAACACTGCAAGTGGTAAAGATAAAAATCATTCTGTTATCTTCATTGACCTCACTAAGCCCAGCTTTGTGACCTAGGGAGCTCTGGTGGCCTAGTGGCAAGAAATTGTGTTGCTATCTTAAAGACACTTGGTTCAAATCCACCAGCTGCTCTGCAGGAGATGGACGGGCAGTCTCTTCCATACAATTAACTGCCTCTGAAAACCCACTGAAGGGTCAGCTACTGAAGGGTCTGATCTACGGTACACAACAACAATAGACTGATGTCAAGATAACAAAAAAAAAAAGGTTTTTAGGATGTTTTCCTGAGATTCTATCTAGGAGCTGTTTATCTTTGTTCTGTTTTGTCATAGTGTACCCAAATACCCTTGATATGTGTGCTATTTGTCATTTGCATGTTTTTAGAAAAAGGGTTATTATTGTTGTTATATACTTTTGAGTTGGAGCCAACCCATAGCTGACCCCCTGGTGAGTTTTCAGAGGCAGTTAACTAATCACATGGGGGGAGATTACCCATCCTTTTTCCATGGAGCTGCTAGTGGCCTCAAGTCGTTGCCTTGAGGATTGCAGCACAGTATCTTGCCACCAGGTCAACTCTTATAAAGAGCACATCATGAGTAAAAGAAATGGAACCTAAGTTTTTATGTTTGTGATAGCTACTTCTTTAATGAGAGATTTAAAAATGGAAATTTTTAAACTTTTCACAGGGCATTTTAAGGTCTTTGCAACCCAGAGAATTGAAAACAACAAAACTATCTCATTGTCACCACAAACCTAAATATATTTAAGACAAGTCCATTGTAGGTCTCATCTTCTGTGAAGTTGGTCAGAACTTCTATTTTATGGCAAGAACTCTTCTAAGAGATTTTTCTATAATGTAATGATGGCTAACACATTTATTGGAGGAGAGAAATACTATCGCCTTAAAAAACAAAGGAAATACAACCATTTTCAGTAATAAAACAATATAAAAACCAAACCCACTGCCAATAAGTCATAGAAATTCTCCAATAGGGTTTCCAAGGCTCTAAATCTTAACAGGAAGAGATTGTCCATCTTTCTTGCATGAGGCAGCTGGTGAATTTGAACCTCTGACCTTTTGGTTAGCAGTCTGACCAGCAACACTGTGGCATCAGAACTCCTCGGGTTAGGAAAGAAGAAATGCTTCAAAGCAAAAATGTCACTTTGAAGATTTAGGTGTGCCTGATCCTCGCGTGGTATTTTCAGTCTCTTAACATGCATGTGAAAACTGGACAATGAATAAGAATTAATGCCTTTGAATTATGTTGTTGACAACGAAAATTAATTATAGACTGCAAGAAGCAGGAGTGACATCTACTTCCTAAACAGCATGTCTCTGGATACTATGAACTTTGAGAAATGATGATAGCTATAGAAAGGCTGCAGGCCTTTTGTTCATAGGGTCGCTATGAGTCATGCTGAACTCAATGGCAGTCAACAACAAGAAGAAACAAGTTTTGTCTTGGAGAAAGTTAAAACAGAATGGTGTTTAGAAGCAAGGCAAAGAACACTATGTCTTCCATACTTGGAGCATGTTGTCAGTACAGACTAGTCCTTGTAAGAGAGCATCATGCTTGCTGAAGTAGAAGGTCAGCCAAAAAGACCTTCAACAAGATGGACTGTCATAGTAACAACAGCAGTAGACATAACAGTGATTGTGAAGATGGTCTGAAACTTGGTAATATCTCATTCTCTTATGCATAGCATAGAGTTGCTGTGAACTGGACCAACATGACAACACCTAACAACAGCAACAAGCTGAAAAATAAGGGGGGTGGGAGGGGAGAGTACTTACTATAGGGAGCCCTGGTTCCAAGAAACTGCACTGCAATCCCAAAGGCACACTTTTCAAATCCTCCAGCCTTTCCACTGGAGAAAAATGGGCAGTCTCCTCCCATGGGATTCACTGCTTCTGAAAACCCACCAGAGGATCAGCTATGGATTAGTTCCAACTCAATGGTATACAGTAACAGCACAATTGTAATGAGAAAGGCAGAGAGGGAAAGATGGAGTTGGAACTCAAATTTCACAAGAGGAGATTGCCCTTCTTTCTCCCAGGGGACAGGTGTTGGATTTGAATTGCCTGCCTTGGGCTGGGAGGGCAACTCCTTCCCCCTGAGCACCCAGAGCTCTCCAGGGGAGCTAATTACATGAAAATGTGAGACAGGTGCTTATAGTAGATTTCCCACACAGAGAGATGATCAGAGGGCATTCAGGAAGCACAGCAGAAGTGAAGGCATCTGAGGGGAGAGAGTCTGGAAGATGAGGCTGGAGAGACAGTAGATTCCAGGGCCTGCAGGCCTCTGAAATCTGTGAAGAAAGTGGTAGGAACATCATGAAACACTACAGGAGGTGCTAGAGGGAGTTGGACATGATCAGATTTGAATTTTAAAGAGACTTCCCCGTTATTGCATAGAGAATAGATTGTGGGGAGAGGAGAGGTTGATGACAAATGTAGATGTACACAATTCGGGGAGGCTCCCGCAGAAGTGTAAATGCAGCCTGATAGTGGCTTAGCGTAAGATGGCAGTAGTGGAAAAGTGGAAGTATATATATTCAAGGATTGTTTAGGAAGTAAAACGAACAGCACTCTGAACTTGTTGAAATGACAAGAGATGATCAGGAATGACATCAAGGGCCCGGCGCTGTAGATAATAGTAAAATGAACAGACCTTCAAGAAGTAGCTAGAACTGAGACTGAGGCACATATGCCAAGTTCTATTTTGGAAGGTTGACATTGAAATTTCTGTGCAATATCTAAAGAAAGATATATTCAAGTTGTGTGTGTGGGTTTGGAGCTTAAAACAAGAGTGAGAAATTAGAATTAAGAATCTGAGGCACATTCACCTGCAGATGGTATCTAGAGCTGCATCAGGTAGGAAAGGCATTTGGCATAATTAGGAAATCTGGTGTGGTCTACCTACCTGTCCTTTTCACTGGAGTGTTAATACATGAGCTGATATATGCCAGTGCTTCTGCTTCGGTGAACACAGTCTCCAACAGCAGGCTGTTCCCCTGCCACAGAAAGGCTGAAGTAGTAATTTCCCTCTGTAAAGCAATGTTATACTAACAGCCATTGATACATAGTAAGTCTTTCCCTCCCTCTCTTTTTTTTGGGGGTGTGTGTGTCATCTTTCTCCCTTATGTTTCCTTTTTTTAATTTGCTTTCCCTCATTCTCTCTCCTTCTCTTCATTCTCCTCTGCTCCTCCTCTATCTCTTAGTTTAATTTTGTTCTGGTTTTTCACACTGTCCACTGAGATGTTAACTGTTTGCTTACACACTATGAATGGATATATTGTTGTCACAGAGAGTTTCCTAAGGGCCACCCAATTGAAGGCTTAAAGGGTTCTTTTATAATTGAGATGTAGATATCTGTTCTTCACTTTTTATTTGTAAGTTAAATAAGCTTAATTAGTAGAGTAGAATTGTTATTTTCAAGTTTTGTTTGTTCAGATGTATTAATGTTTTCAGTTCTAGCAAAATGCTGTATGCTAATCATATAGCCTAGTGGGAAGGAGTTGCATTGGTAACCCAGAAGCAGGAGGTTGGAATCCACCAGCTGCTGCATGGGAGAAAACTGGCAGTTTCCTGTACAATTTACAACCTTTGAAAAACCGCTGGAGGGTCAACAATGAGTTGTTTCCAACTGGAGAGCACCTAACAGCAATCATTTGTAAATTACTGTTTTTAAAAATATAATCACTTTTCCTAATATCTAATAATAATTTATTTCCATTTTCTTGGTTAATAGATTACTGTTCTAGATGAGACATGGACCGTGTTTAGACGTTATAGTCGTTTTCGAGAAATGCACAAAACATTGAAGTTGAAGTATGCAGAGGTAAGTTATGAAACAGTTATTTTCTTAGAAAATTATTTTTTATCAAATAAAAGATCTGATGCATTATTATTACCACCTTTTCTTCCCTCCCTCATCGCCTCCCTCCCTCTCTCTAAATGTTACCTTATGCCACTAAGTTTTACTACAATTTTTAAAGCTTTCATAATTTTTATCCTTTAATTTCTATGCTACACAATTTAAACATTTTCTGAATGCAAGATTTTGAAATGATACAGCAATAGATTAATTTTATCATTTCATAAATTTTGTAGTGGATTTTAAATATTTTAATTAATTTATAAGTTCTCAACTGTTGAATGAGACCAACCAAAATGAAATCATTCTAAATTCTTTAATGTTGATATTCCATTCTCTTAAAAAATGCTACAGTAATGTTCAAACTTCTGTTTCATCAGAAGTCAGATTTTGAGAGGTATTTTGTCATCAGACAAGGTTGAGAATAAATATGGGTTTATCTAGGAACAAGAAAGCATTTCACATATTGAATTAGATATTGATGTACTGATATAGTAGTAATTGTCTTTTGGACCAAGACTATTTTAAGGAGAAACCACAGGATTGCACAGTTTGATGGGCGGAGGGAAGGGATAAGGAAATGGGAAGGATCTGTGTGAAAAGACAGGGTAATGATGGGCAAAGTCTAATGGTCATTAATTTTACAAAAGATAATATATGGAAATGATTGTATGAAACACAATATGAATGAAGAATAATGTGAAACACAGTGTATACAAACTTGGTAAGCAAACCAATATAAAAAATATTTTCAAGCAAAAATTATACCTAAAATGAATGTAAATAATCTCTTGATGAGGGTGATTGTTGTTCTTAAGATTTTATTTCAACTAAAGAAAGCTTTGCAGATGCACAACTCTTTAGGAATTTCTATTTGAACTAATGAATCCCCATTCACTGGCTAATCATTTGCACTGAGTTCCTTAGTAACAGTTTTTATCATTTCCTATAACACTTGAAAGAATAATTTAGCCAGAAAAATTTATCACTAATTTTGTTCACCTTAAATAATGTTTCTTTATATTCCATTGTTTCCACCCTTTCTTATCTAATATATGCTATAGGACAAATACCTTTTTAAAAATTAAATGGTTACCTGATGTATACAAGTCTTGAATGCAAGTAAAATTTTAAGCTTTTCTGAAATCCTGATATTATGTTATCATAATAATATTCTATTAAAAGTTGAAGATTCTAGGTATAAATTATTAGATATACTAAATATAAATTATTTAAGTATAAGTAAATTTACTATATAATTTTAGATATAAATTACAGTTCAAGTGTCCCCAAGAGCCCTCAGTTCCAAAAGAAACTGCATAAAGACAGAGTTTTAAATTTGTATCTGCAATTTACCTTTGAGATCCAAAATTAATATTGATAATAAAGAGTAGAAGAATTGTGTATATTTTCATGTACAGAGCAACTTAATTTTAAAAAGAGTTCTGCAGCTCACTGACTGCTTGATTTTTAATTACTTTGTCAGTACTTCAATAATTTACAGACTTTGCATATTAGCATCACTGAATTCTCACAGTAATGGGAAAACAATTCATGACATAGTGGACAACTAGAAAGGCTAGAGATTAGTATATATTTTATATAAGAGCTACTCATGTTCATTATTATTATTAATTTAATGCTTGTATATTTTATATTGATTTTTTCATAGCATTCTGTGTAGATACTTTTTTTTCACCTCCTATAATATTGTAGCTGATGTTAGATGGATCTTGCCTGAAGGCAGGGAATACCAGAAGAATGTCTGTCTGTGTTTCATTGATTATGCAAAGGTGTTTGACTGTGTGGATCATAACAAACAGTGGCTGACTCTGAGAAGAATGGGAATCCCAGAACATTTAATCGTGCTAATACTT